GGGAGGGGGTGGGAGAGCTGGGAGTTAGAGGGGGGACGGAGAGAAAGGGAGGGACGAAGAGAGGAAAGTTTTTTTTTTTTTTAATTTTTATAAAGATTTTTATAAAGTTATTTTATTATCTATATATATAAAGTAAAAGGCAGAGGATGGTCAAACATTTAAAATACCAGAAAATGCCCTTAGTTAATGCAAACATTAGGAATTGAAATTATGAATTAAATTATGATAATACGGTAAATTCACACTTTTTCATATTTTTTAAAAAAAATTAAAAGAAAAATCAGATAATGAATCCTATTTTTATAGAACACAACTATCCATTATCTTTTCTAATTCTAAAATATATTTATTTATTTATTTTAAAAAGCCTCAAGCAAGTCCGAAAGCGCGTGCGGAGAGACTAGTATTATATAATTGATTTATTATTTTTTTAAGAAATTGGTGGGTCCTACAGTGGACACGTCGTTAACGTATGTCAACTTAACAGAAAGCTTAAATTGGTCATATTTGAAAATCATCGAGTGTAAATTAATGAAAGTGAAACTCGAGAACCCATATTGAGAATTACCTCAAAAAGCTTAAATTGGTCATATTTGAAAATCATCGAGTGTAAATGAATGAAAGTGAAACTCGAGAACCCATATTGAGAATTACCTCAAACCTTCAGGAAGTCTTTTGACGTTATCCTTTATTTATTTATTTATTTAGAGCTATTAAGGTGGGTTGAAGAAACTCTTTGCTTTCCAAACGATTGGCTAAACACCTCAAGAAAAACGACTGGCAACGGCCCGTGGGCCACCACCACACTTGATCTTATTATTATCCGCGTCTGCCGCATCTGCCGCCTCACTCTGTCTCTGACGTGTTCATAACCTCTAACCAAATTCAACTGCCTTCGTACTTTGCAGACATATAAAGTTCAGTTTCTGCACAGCCAAAGCTGTAAACTTTGGGGGTAATTTTTTCTTTTTTGGAATTACCCACTTTCGGTACTTGAAATCGTAGAATTATACTCACACGCCTTCTTCCTCAACGCAATTGATGATTCGCTCTTTGAATTCTTACGGCCCCTTAGTAAAAGAACTGGAGTTTTCAAATTGAAGATGGCGACCGACACTAATACCCAAATCTACCACGAGCGGCAAAGGCTACAATTTTGCCTCTTACACTCGCTCAACAATCTCTTCCAGGTACCTTTTCCAAAACCCATCTCTCTTTCCCTCTCTTTATTCTAGTTTTTGCGTAGTGGTTGCGTAGAAGAAAGGTAATAGAAGGGAACCCACTAATTATTTATGCCCAGAACGATCATTCTGCTTTAGTTCTATGATTTTGTATCACAGTCTTGTATGTTTTTTCCTTTTTAATCAAATAGTTTTGAATGTGTTTATTTGATTTGATACTTAAATGTGTATGCTGCTTATCAAAACAATTATGTTGAACAGCGAAAAGATGTATTTACTCGATCAAGCTTGAATGAGATTGCTGAAAAACTTGTTCTTGAAGAACCCAACAACGAAACATGGACACCCTTTTCTGTACTCTTTAAACCCCATCATAATGCACTTACTGGAAACTATGATATAAATGTGCTAATTGCTGCTTTAGAAGACAAGGGAAAGAATGTGGTTTGGCATGATCGTCGTAATGGAGCGTCTTCGATTGATCTAGATGGGCCTGAAGATGCTTTGATGGGTATTCTGCTTAATGTTCCGGTTAGAATGTTTGCTGGGCTTTGGAAAAGTAGGCATTGGGTTGCATTGAGGAAGATCGACGGGGTTTGGTACAATTTGGATAGTGATCTTGTTGCTCCTCAGGCTTTTGAAGATACTGAAAAGGTTAGAGAATTCTTGGATTACATCATTGGGTATGGTGGAGAAGTTTTGCTTGTTATGAACAATAAACAGTGATTTTTCTTTTCATGAGTTCAAGGTATCTGATAGGGTATCCAAGTGACTGTATATTAAACTCTGCTTGTAAAGTTTCGATTTACAATCAGCTTATAGAAGAGTAAAAAGTTTCAGTTTTTTGGTTTGTTCCTATGCCCCTGTATGTGTATTCTGTTTCAGTGCTATGTGTGGGGTGGTGAGGGTGCTGCTAAATGATTTCTGTAATTGCATATTTGGTATTGGAGGGGCTTCTTAGTCAATCTTGAAACATTGGGCTCTTAAGTTTATCTTTTTCCTGAGGTGAAACTTTATTAGGTAGGGCACCATTCTATTAGTAAACATTTGGATGCTGATTAAAAAAGCTCTGCTTTTGATGTCATATGAGTGTGGATCGTGTGCTTGGACATAATGACAAGATATATTTTGTTTATATATTTGGAGTATGTGATCAAGCAATTGATTTCAAGTTGTCAATATGCTTGATGGTTGACTGAAGACACCCCTGACAGCAAAACTTTGGAGGGATTGATTGTGCTTCTTTCAAGTTTTTTTGACTAGTTTCATGCTCTGTAGAAAGCAGATGCATAATTTTGCATCTTAAGTCCAGAGAGTTATTGCATGTTGTGTTAATGCTTTCTGTTGGGTTTTAGAAAACTTGAGTGCTGTTTATTTTTTATATCATCTTAGTACATTGAAATCTCTGTGTAATCTGTAAAGTATCATATGTTAAGTTTTTAACCCTAATATGTACAGCTCAATGGCCCTAGTGCCCCACTTTCACCTATTTACCCTAATATCTTTTAAAAAGCATTAGTAGGATGCTGGTTTGTGTCTTCTTCCTTGCATCTTCAAAAGTTATCCTTTTGGCCTTCCTCTTTCTTTGCGATTAATTAACTTTTTGGAGATTTTTTTTCCTTGGTTCTTTTCTTTTCCATTCCTCCTGCTGCATTCACCTCCAATCACCCACCCACACGAACTCACTTACCCCAATTAGAAAAAGACATGTAAGTTGTTTGCCATTGTCCTACCACCATACATAAGATAATTGTTTCTGTTCCAGTTGGAAGGTGATGTATAGACCATAGCTTTACAGATCTCTCTAGAGTGGACAACAACCTCATTATCACCAAGAGTTTAATAGTAGTCACAAATCAGCTTTTACCAATAGTTGAATGAAACATCTTTGAAGATGGTGCTGATAAATTTATAAAGTATGCTAACTGAGGAAACTGAGACTATAAGCAGTCTTCTTCCTACGACCGATTCGGAGATGGTATTTTAAGCTCAGTTTATGTATTTGATTTTAGATCAAACATGAGCAACACGTGATGTTCTCATTGTGAAATGGAGGGGGCATAAAACCATGGTGTGACTGAAGACATGAGTCTCTGCAGAAATAACTGGTGTGAACAATACTGTTGTGCCAATACTTACTTTCCGTCCTCTCTATTTGTTTTTGGTATTTTGTTCCTTGGAGGGGTCACTTTTTGATGCTTGCACTTCTTGCAAGCAAAAAGGTGCTCTCACATGGTCAAAGGATTAGTGGGGAGCCGGAGATCATGCTTTGGTTACTGCTTGAAATCTCTTTTCTCACTGTCTTAATCTCCCCTTTTGGCATATCCTTTTGACACTCTTCCATATACGTTCTTTACACTCTCCACTTTATAACCCACTATAAGATTTCTACCCTGGTAGCTCTCTATCAATTCCTCTCTCTCTCTCTCTCTCTCTCTGCTTCATTTCAACTTTCGATTTTAATATGGCAACAAGAGCCAAGGCCCAGATGAGCCAGAAGGAGTTTGTCAACAGGAAGAGAGTCTTTTATTTCAACCACACTTCAACTAAGAGCGTTGCCCAAGACAGAAGGTATACTGAAAATTTTAGATTTAGGTTTCCTACATGGTCAGGATTCTTACCAATGAGATTACTCAAAAATCTTGCTGACAAGGTGGCGGGAACTCTATGTATGGGTATGACCTCCGTGAGCACGAGACCTTCGCGAAAGGATTCTTTATCTAGAAGATCAATGCCATTCGTGGCGCCTGTGGATTCTCATAGAGAACAAGCCATAGAAGACTGCATTGAGTTCATCAACTCTTCTTCTTCTCTTTCAAGATCAACTTCTATAGCCAGACATTCTCCTTAGGTTTTCCTAAAACCAATGAACTTCTGTTCCAACTATTTTTGTTACATCGGTCAAGTACTAGTTTGTAACAAAAGAAACTTGAAACTTGAAGTCTATTGTAGTATTGTACATATGTTTCGTGCACCAAATCGGAGAGCTATGCTATGTGTATACTTGCTGTTAGTAATTTGGTGTGGCCTGGTGGATCCAATCCAATGCATTATATTAACAGATTGATTCTACTTCTAGTTATTGACTAATTAAGTTCTTAAAGTAGTTAGTTTATACAAGGTAACGAAATGTACATTGTAGGGGTTCAATTTTTTCGTTAACAATTGATCGACTAGTCTACCCTGTAAGAACACAGAAAAATAAGGGTGCTGATTTTCCCACTCCCCTTTTGTCTACTTACACTCCCCTTTGTTTTTTAATACTTTTTATTATAACATATAAGGGAGTGTACGTGGACAAAGGAGTTGTGTGAACATAAAATTTTCAACAAATGGAGTGTAAGTAGACAAAAGAGGAGTGGGAAAGTCAGCTCCGGTGTGGATCAGTTCAAGAGCTCTTAAAGTAGATTGGTAAGTAGTCTGGTCTAAAAGGTTCAAGTTAGACTTCTGCTCCAATTTTCTGGTTTGGGATGCAAGGCTATCCTTGTGGAATGACTGGTTCTTAAAATTTCAAGAGCTAAGAGGGCAATTTAGCACCTTAGCTTATTAAAATGGCACAATATGAGCTCATCACTATGTTAAACTTAAATTATTCCAAACATTGTCTTTCATGCTTTTATTTTCCCAATCTATTCTCAACTTGTCAGCACTCTACTCTGTTTCAAAAGATTGTTACATTGTTAAAATATATATATTTATGTTTAGAGCCGTGGTTATATATTCAATTCAACAAATCAGAACCCCATTTGGCCACAAACTATTCCAGAACATATCATATATATTATATACCAGCTGATCAAAAATGAATTGAAATGAAATTAAACTTAGATGCGAAGAGAGAGATGAAGAATTTAACACAGCTTAAATATGTTCCATAATGATCAATGAGTACTGAAAGCAAATAGACACAGAATCCTGCCTGAAATGCCAGATTATGATAATTAATCATCCACATGAATCTGATCAGTCCTGCTTGGCAAAGAGGCCTCCAAACCCGCCCTTCTTCTTTGGCGGTATCACCACTGTGCCCTTGCGGCCACCATTAGTGGCATCATTCTTATCCTCAACCTTCTTGAGGATTGGATCAGTCTCAAGCAGCTGGTCCTCCTTTGCTAGCCCTCCAAGAATCCAATCAAGCAGACCCTTCTCCTCTTTGCTTCCTCCCTTGGCCGCGGTTGCCGCGTACACCCGGCTACTTGCTCTACCAGTTGCCACCGGAGCAAAAACCATTGTGAGTGAGGCCATTTTAGTTTATTGGCTGCAGAATCTAGCACCAGAGGAAAAGAGTATGATCTTTGCAATAGTTGGAGTGAATAAGGAAAGGGAGGCAAAGTGAGTAGGATAATATATCCTCCTAGTTGTTGTTAAAGTGAATGTGAACCATTGGATGGTTCTTGCATGGTGACTTAGATTTGAATGGGAGTGTTTGTAGCACAAGCTCTCCACAAGTGTCTTATCCTCATTCCTTCAACTCTTTTGTTACACAAGGAGGAAAAAAGGCTATTTTGTAAGATGAGGGCTCATCGTTAGTGGACATGGATGTGGATGAGACACGTGGCAGCACCATAACCTGTGCACTTAGTGGAGGCTAAAAGATGGGCCAATTGGAGATGGATGGTATTGGACCTAAATTAGTCCCAAGGAATTTTAATGTTAAAAAACTAAACTATAGAGAGCTAGCTCCAAAAGAAGCCCACAATGTAAATTCCAAAGTGAACAACTCCCATGAGTATCCTAACTAATGTGTATATTGGTTGGGGGAGGAAAATCGAACACAGAACTTTCGGGTGCAGGGTAAATATTATTAAAGTTGAAAACAAATATAACCTTTGAATTTGTATATATAGAAATCTCGTTCTATACTATATATATATTGGTCATTGGCATTTGACTAAAAGTTTAAGCGACTAATTCCTAAACTTTGCACAAATTGAACTGAAAACGTGAGATTTGGACAAGTACTATTCAATGGGTTGGTATCGATCCATGGCCTTAAGAAAGGGAAAAGGTGCATGATGACAAAGTTTTGTCCTCCATTTCTTCTAGACAAAGTTTTCTCTCTCGTCTCAGAACTTGTGGTTCAAAGAGAGACAGTTTAGTTCAGTTTTTGTCTCTCTAAGGTCTCATCAGCTCGTTTGCTTCACACTTATAAATCACTCTTTTTTCCAGGTTTTGAAAAATTAAAACCCACTTTCTCATATCGGGTCAACCATCTCCACCTACCCTCAAGGCCTGCATGCATGGCTTGAGCTTCCTATTTTCTTAATAAAGAAATTAAGTTCAGCTCCTTGCTTGCCCTCTTTGATATGCATATACATACGTTTAAGAAACTGTTTTGAGTGCTTAATTTGTTCCCAACAACCATGGAAAATGCACCTTACTTGTTTTGCTCGATCCTGAAAAACCTTTTTCACTTTTCATCAGTACATTATATGCGGACAGTGGATGGATCATCATCAAAACAAAACAGTTCTTCTACTATTTAGTATATATATTGCGTGTTCCCTATCACTTATATATCTCTTTATCTCTATTATCACGTGAATAATTTCTTTCATTTTAAAACTAAAAGATTGCATTTCCTATATAAATTGTATTCATATATAACTGTTATCTATGAACTCATTAAATAAAGTAGAGTATGGGCTTGAAGTACATATATATATATATATATATTAGTTTCAAATAATATATATTGTATACATCGACATCTAGAGGCTTCGGATCCCCTCGTCGATCTGGTTCATATTAGATCTCAATTATTTTCATATAACTCGTTTTTCAACTCTCAAACATTTAAAAATGCAATTCATGCTAGGGAGAGAAAAACTTAGTTGCAATGGGGATATCACTGTTTTGCAATCTTCGGCCAATAATGGTATGTCACGTGTGGCGTTATTGGTCGAATATAGCAAAATAGTACCATTGTCGTTTCATGGAAGTCTTTCTCCATGCTAGGGCCACTTTCATGTGGTAAAAAAATGGGGTTCTTCCATGTAAGTCCAAAATTTCTAGCTCTCATTGGGTTTGGTCCACACCTTTTTTGCTGTAGATTTGGGTCCATTGATTTTTATTAATTTTTTCATGTGTCAATTTTACACTTTGAGGTAAATAAGGAAAGAATATTAATTGAAAATCCAAATTAATGTATCGATTCTTTCCTTCTAAATAGATTTCATATTTTAAATTTTGAATCCTTCTATTGCCGCCATGACATAAAAGAAGTTCATATAAAACAATGAAAGTAGGAGAATTATTAATGATATCTTCCCAACAAATATTTACCTGACTGCTAGGTAAATATGATATAATATACCTAATTATTAGGTAAAAATATAAGATAATGTACCTAAATACTAGATAAATATAAGATAACGTACCTAAATACTAGGTAAATATAAACTAATGTACTTAATTACTAGGTAAATATAACATAATGTACCTAACACATAAGTAGTTTACTCTACTATACCTGATAAACATGTAGATTTTAGATAAAATGTATGGATTTGAGTGATACAACCAATAATCATAAAACGCCACAACAAAAACATGGGAAAAATTGGAAGATAATTAACTATCAAGAAACAAAGGAATCAAAAATGATGTGGGGGGAAAACACAAAACTCACTTGTGTTAACGGTTAATTGCATCTTAATCAAAGATATTAGGTGGGAATGAACTTTACAGCAACAAAAACGTGAAGTAAAAAAGTGAGCTAAACAAATCAAAAGTAAAACAATGAGGAATTGTATTATCAAAGAAGAAAATAAACAAACAAAATCAAAATTATAGGAGACGTGATTTGTGGCAGTATTTTCCGTTTATATCCATTTGACAATATCATAATTATTATGACAAAAATTAATTTCTTACCTTATTTAATTTTTCGGGGCATGATGGAAATAACAAAGTAATTTAAAAATGAAAAAAATAATATGTAAATATCAAAAAATCAAAAAAAGGAATGTAATCATAGGTTGTACAAAAGTCAAAGGACTTGTATCAACAACAACAAATACAAAAATTGCATCCAACTTCTGTTTTCGATTTTGGACTTATACCAAATTTTCTATAAATAAAAAATTAGAAAACAACTGGGTTTTACAACATGGTATGCCAACGACGTCCAAGGATTAGAAAAATGAAGGATAATGACGGCAGCGTACGTTAACGCGTCGAAGGACGTGGCAGTTGCTTACCAAAGTAAAATTAAGAGAGTTCAAAGGTTCAAACCCCCACCTTTTTTTTTGGTAGTTTTGGTTAATTAATCACTCCCCATAAGGAAATATCTTCCATGCATACCTACTCAGTCGACTATAAATAATATAAAGCCCCATGATAAATCTATGTAAAGGTTTTCGTGTGCATACTTCCACGTAGAGTCAATTTCCTATCAACTTGGTGGCGACTTGCATGCATGATGCCCCAAAATTCCCAACAACTCCTCCTACAAAACTTTCTCCTCATCTCACTCTTTATAAACCTCCACCCAACACCTCTCTCTCTAATTAAACTAATATTCTCTCTCTCTCTCTTCCTCTCTTCCTCTCTGCCTCTCTCTCTCTCTCTCTATCTCTCTATACCACAAGACCAACTCTCCAGCTTGCTCTCATGGAAACCCTACCTATTCTCTTTACCCTATTTGGTGCTACATTTTTGTATCTCTTCTGGTTCTACCTCTTGGCTCGGAAACTCACAGGTCCGACCGTTTGGCCATTCTTGGGCAGCCTTCCGGTTCTCTTTATGAACCGGAATTCAATCCACGACTGGATCACGAGTAACCTCCGTGCCACAGGCGGTTCCTCCACGTACCAAACATGTACACTCGCTCTCCCTTTCTTGGCTCGCAAGCAAGGGTTGTTCACCGTGACATGTAACCCAAAAAACATCGAGCACATTCTCCGAACCCGATTCGACAACTACCCCAAAGGGCCAACGTGGCAGGCCGCTTTTCATGATCTTTTGGGGGAAGGAATATTCAATAGCGACGGAGAGACGTGGCTGATACAGAGGAAAACAGCGGCGTTGGAGTTCACAACTCGGACGCTGAGGCAGGCCATGGCTCGGTGGGTGAACCGGACCATCAGGAACCGGCTGTGGTGCATTTTGGATAAGGCGGCCAAAGATCACATCGCGGTGGACTTACAGGACCTTTTGCTTCGGTTGACGTTCGACAACATTTGCGGCCTCACATTCGGTAATGTTCGAAATCAAAATTGAGTAGCTCTCTCCCATAACACTTTTTTTACTTCTTGTTTACCTAAATCTTCACTAATGTTTAGATATATATTTTTTAATTTATCCTTGTGATTATTTTTTTAGAGGAGTTTGATGAACTCTTTTTATTTTATTTTTAAATGAGAATGATAAACTTAACATTATTATTTATAATTTTCCACCCAAAAAAAAACAAAAAAAAACATCTGAATTAATATTTTTTCAACAGGCAAAGACCCGGAAACGCTGTCACCGGAATTACCCGATAACCCGTTTGCCAAGGCATTCGACAACGCCACCGAAGGCACTCTCCAACGCCTCCTCTATCCCTCTTTCCTTTGGCGACTGCAGAAGATCTTCGGCCTCGGAGCCGAGCGACAGCTAGAGAAGAGCCTCCGTGTCGTCGAGAACTACATGAACGAAGCCATCGTAGCGCGCAAAGCGACGCCGTCCGACGACCTGATCTCCCGCTTCATGAACAAGCGCGACGTCGATGGGAACCCCTTTCCGAGCGCCGTCCTCCAGCGCATCGCCCTCAACTTCGTCCTCGCCGGCCGCGACACGTCGTCCGTCGCTCTCAGCTGGTTCTTCTACCTCGTCATGAACAATCCCCAAATCGAGGCCAAGATCGTCGGCGAGATCTCGACAGTCCTGAAATCGACACGTGGCGACGATCAGCGCCTCTGGCTCGAAGAGCCCCTGGTGTTCGACGAGGCCGATAAATTGGTCTATTTGAAAGCGGCGCTGGCTGAGACTTTACGATTGTACCCTTCCGTACCGGAGGACTTTAAGTACGTTGTGAACGACGACGTTTTGCCGGACGGGACTTTTGTGCCGGCCGGTTCGACGGTGACGTATTCGATCTACTCGGTGGGGAGGATGAAGAGTATATGGGGGGAGGACTGTATGGAGTTTAAACCGGACCGGTGGATTTCGGCCGACGGGAACCGGTTCGAACCTCCCAAGGACAGTTACAAGTTCGTGGCGTTCAATGCCGGACCGAGGACTTGTTTAGGGAAGGACTTGGCTTACCTGCAGATGAAGTCGGTGGCTTCGGCCGTACTGTTGCGTTACCGGCTGTCTCCGGTTCCCGGTTTCCGTGCCCAGCAGAAGATGTCTCTCACGCTCTTCATGAAGAATGGGCTTCAGGTGTATTTGCATCCACGTCAGCTTGGTGGTGGGCCAGGTCAGGTCGCCGCCACCTCAGCATAAGGGGGGGTATTTTCGGGATTGAGAAAAAGAGAAGATCAAAACTGTGCCATCTGTGTGGGATACAAATTGAAGTCATTTAATTTGTTTTTAATTTAAAAAAAATGTATATGTAACTTTGTTGTTGGGTCTGTTGGGTAGGGTAAGTGGATCTGGGTTTTAGTGGGTTGAATATGAGTATGGTTGCTCATCTAAGTTGGAAAATTTGATGTCTTTGTGTTGTTAATTATATTCCATATCAGTTGATATGGGTTTTTCTTATACTTATCAATAAAATTTAAATGTATACTCTTTTAATCCTTAGAGGTGGTGTGATTAGAATGCTTAATTAATTTCAAGATCAATTCCTATTGCATCCCCATCTTCCCTTCACATTTTTTGGGGAATACCTAAGAGGTGAGACTTGTTTATTTCTACATGGATTTTATTTCTGTGAGAGATATGATTAACAACGTGGTGAAATATTAGAATTACGCAGACGATGTAGGCGGACTACAAATTTACGAGGTCAATTTGTGATGTAATTGTGCAACTTGTATGATGATGATTAAATTCAATCCAATGTAGAAGAATGAAGCCTTGGCTGTCAGAAAATGTAAAATTTAAATGTATACTCTTTTAATCCTTAGAGGTGGTGTGATTAGAATGCTTAATTAATTTCAAGATCAATTCCTATCGCATCCCCATCTTCCCTTCACATTTTTTGGGGAATACCTAAGAGGTGAGACTTGTTTGTTCCTACATGGATTTTATTTCTATGAGAGATATGATTAACAATGTGGTGAAATATTAGAATTACGCAGACGATGTAGGCGGACTACAAATTTACGAGGTCAATTTGTGATGTAATTGTGCAACTTGTATGATGATGATTAAATTCAATCCAATGTAGAAGAATGAAGCCTTGGCTGTCAGAAAATGCATATGCATACAACATATTGCTTCATAACCACAAATTTGAAGTGTTAGTATTTTGATATAACATTTACAGAGGGGCTGTGTTGTGGTCATTTTTGCTATGTACTATTCATCATTCATGAAAATGGTATGAATATGCAACCAATTTATCAAACTTCAAATTCTGCCGGGAACCAAAAAGCAATAGCCTTTACTCTCCCACTTTTGAGCCCCATGTCAAAATCTTTGAAAAATTCTTCAAGTCCAAGAATCTCAGCAATATGATACCGCTTTCCTTCCAAATTGAATTTCTTGGCATTCTGCTACTTCTCTCCTTTAAAGTACCTCTCTTCTATATTATTTCAGGATTGAAGTGCTGCCAGACGATTAGTAAGGATCAAGTCATCCATGGATTAATCTATGATCTTCTCACCGGTGGAGAAAAGATTCCAGACAACAGTTCCAAACAGATAAAGGCCTACTGAGACCTTGAATACGTCATCCCAAGAACCTGAGAAATGTCAATGTGGAAAGAGAAGAATATCAGAATCAGCTTGTTTGCTTAAACATTACAGCTTGATGTGATGCCCACAAGGCCAAAAAAATGAGGACAATTTGATCTCCACTTATGCCTGAAAATGAAAATAGCTAGCTAGTTAGGACAGTTTGAATCAAAAGTTTCTACAAGCAGCGACAAGTTTTTGACAGAATTTATATTCTAATGAGTGCTATGCTCTGATGTGTATGTATACAAATAAAATGTGACTTTCCTATGTAAGGCAATGCATGAAAATCGTGTCACAAATCTAAACCAGGTTAATTCAATTTTTATGCTACAGAAGAATAAAAGTGGATTCAAACTTCAGTTAGTTCACCATATAGTTCAGTAATTGGCTTACTATCAACTACGAATTGCAGTAGATGGGCACTAACCATGTTGCAAGATGTAGCCAGTCGATGCTGTTCCAAAGACGCCGGCGAGCACTCCGGCAGTATTGGACAGACCAAGCAAGACACCCTGAGAAACAATTTGAACAAGAAAATTAGACCCATCTGTTCAGCATCTAGAATTCCTCTACAATCAGAAAGCATGCATTGGCAAGTGATTGATGGGCTTATGTACTTGGAACTCAGTAAGATGTCTAATTACACAGAAGAAATTTCCATATATGCAAGCCAAATCAGAAACTAAACCCAATACTCACAGAATATCGTGGAGCAATATCTTGATGGTTTGAATATAGACCAGATTGTGAGAATGCATCAGTTCCCTATTTAAGCAAGAGAAACAAAAACCAGTTAGCTAAATGATAGAAAATAATAAAATGAACAAAAGAACTGTTAAGCAATTGTATAAAGCTTCCAAAAGAAGGAAGAGGAACATGTGTTTATTTTTCTCATTCCATGTACTGCAAGAATCATACCTGACTGCATGCCATACATAGAACAGCCATTGCAGGAGAATTAATATGGCTCAACTGAGTGAGGAAGAAAGCAGGTCCAAGAAACCCAATTGTTTGCATAATCTGCAAGGGACAATGTCGATTAGATCAGCAATACAGACAGTTGATCAGTTACAAAAACATGGTTTCTATCTTGGAAAATTGTTCTCAAATAATATTCATTTAGAAAAAGAAACAATTTGATGTATATAACAAATTAGAGAATGAGAATACCTTACGAACCGTCGTCACGGAGAAACCCTTGCTCACAAGTGTGTCTGCAATCCACCCTCCAAGGTTTGCAGAAAATGCCATTGTAAGCCAGGGCAGGACGCAGAAAAGCCCTGATTCTGTAAGATTGAACTTCAGCACCTAGTAGTGGGATTGATTATAAAATCAGTATTCATGCAATTTCAGAAGAATAAATGCAAGCAACAATGACTTACTTGGTTATAGTATGTAGGCATCCATGTAAGAAGAATAAACGTTCCCCAATTATGACAGAAGTGAGACACTATCAGGGCCCAAACAGGTGCTTTTGACAAAATTAATTTCCAAGGGATCTCTTTAACAGGCTCCTTGGAAACACTGCTGGAAAGAATTAGCTTCTTCTCTGCAGGTCGAAGCTCAGGATCCTCAAGAGGTGAACTGTGTGCCTATAGCAAGAACCCCGGAAAACACATCAAAGATAAAACATACACATCAGTAAATAAAAAATTGATTGATGACATAGATTACAAATTACAATGAAAAATCCTAACTTAGGTTGCAAAAGTAACATGTTTCGTGAAAAAACCGTACTAATTCAATAACGGCGGTAAAGTTCAATCACCTTGCTTATCCATACAGCAAACCAGACAGTGCCAAGAGAACCAAAGGAGTAAAAAACTGATGGCCATCCAAATTGATGTATTAGAAATGGTGAAAAGGCCAAGCCAGTGACTGATCCAAGGTACATCCCACTGTAAACCAGAGCCAAAGATCTACTTCTCTCTGCTACAGGAATCCATTTTGACAGAATATTATTCATTGCAGGCATAGCAACACCCTGAAAACAAAAGCATACTAAATAAGCAAGTACACATTCAGTGCCCTGTTGTCCAAGTATCAAATAGGCATCATAGTAATTAGCAATTAGCAAAAATTACCAAATAGTCACGGTAAATTTAGAAGTCCAACCTCACCAATCCCCATGAAAGCACGAACAACAAGTAGGAAAGGCAATCCGACTTTAGCAGCAACAGGAGTGAGAATAGTAGCAATGGACCACCAAATGACTCCAAATGCCAAGACCTGCTTCCCACCTACTGTGTCTGCCCAAATGCCACCAGCAATCTGCAACTCTTAATTATAAGTTTAAAAGAACAGATAAAACCCATAAAATAAAACCATATAAGTATTAATCTTCTCCATGGCCCACAAGGAATGTGTCACACATTAAATTAACACTGTTACAAAGCAAAAGGCTTTAACTTCTCCATGGCCCATATGTTCATTTGAAGAAGAAGAAAAAAAAGGTAATGTAATTAACCTGAGTGAGGAGGTAGCCCCAGAAAAAAGAAGACTGTATCAAACCCACAGTTCCTGGGTTCCAATTGTACTCTGCTGACATGGGAAGTATGGCAATGCTCATATTTACCTGCCATAATTCAGAAAAAATAATTGTTTTATTGCTCTATAATTAAGTTTCATGCTCCATGTCCCATTTTGACGCTGTACAAGCATTAAAGCTTTAAGCTTTTTTTTTTTTGTAACAAAAGCTTTAAGCTTACTCTGTCCATGTTGCAAAGAAGGAAAGCCGAAAAACACAAAACGACGATGACCCATCGTTTCGGGAACTGTTCTAACCACGAAGCCTCAGCCACAGCCAAAGGCTCCTCTTCCAATTCCTCCTCCTTCCCCGAAGGGACATCACTCAGCCCCTTCTCAAACTTATCCACCGATTCCGATATATCGTACGCCTCCGATTTAACATCCGCAAACACCTTCCCACCTCTCCTCTTACCACCACCAGAGTCCCTGCGCGAAACCCGAAGAACCCAGTAGTGTTCCCGGTTCTGAATCTGTACCCGAAACGGAAACCGGGTTTTGGGTCTCGAATCGGAGCCGAAACTTCTCTTGGGGGCCGAAGTATCGGTGGGCGGGATGTTGGGCTTGGGGGAGAAGGAGTAAAGAAGAGCTCTGGCATTCATGGTTTGTACGAGCGCATGAAACGACTCACTGAGTCAGTCACTCGCTGCCGTTCAGTGTTCAGAGCTTCTTCGCAGCGAAACTCAACATGCTATAAGCTTTGGGAAAGATTTCGGAGAGAGAAATGCGGAGGGATATTTATGTGCATTGGCTGTAGTTAATACACGTGGCGGTTGCACGGAAGGGATTGGATCGTTGCGGGTAAGGGAAAGAGCACGACGGTTTTTCCGCTTTTTTCGGGTTGGCGGGTAAGTAACTGAAAATTGAATTGGAATTATTATTCTAATACTGTTCTCAGTGAGGCCTTATTAGAGAAATTGGGCTGGCCTGTACATAGTGAAAGGTGTAGTCTTGGGCCATTCTATTTCTCACTTGCCTTCTATCATTTGAAATTAAGCCCTAAAAGGATCAAATAATATCGGTCCATAATTCAATCACATTCTTCTTCTTCTTCTTCTCTTTTTCCTTTTTCTTTAGGTTCTGGACTCTTTTTTTTTTCAGGCCAACAGGATTTAGTCTAGTTGAAAATAATTTTGACTTGCATACAAGTTGTCTCAAGTTCGAACCCCCATGATACCTTGATAATGTATATTGGAGAAACCCCACATCTCCTTGTAGTTTAGACTATAACTTGTAATTTAATTGAGGTACTAAACATTTTTACCCACCCTACTAATGGGATTTCAGCTAACAAATACCCTATCACAACCGTTGATACGTGCGGGACCTATTGTAGAGCATGTGATCATCAACCATTGTTTTTGCGTCACGTGATTTAATTTGAGGAGTTAATCTCGCCTAATTCTCTTTTTTCTTTTTTCTTTTTTAAATCAACTGTTAATCTAACATAATCCTCTAGAATGATATAGTTACGTCAACCCAAAACAATCTGCTTCTTGTGGGACTTGAGATTTAGAAGAGAATCCAACCATAAGTTATAAATAAATAAAAACACAAAACTTAGCAGCAGAATTGAGAAAGCAAAAGTATAGAATTGAAATTGCAAAGCTTGCAATGTGTAAAACGGCCTCATATACACTATTTTAAACTCTCTCTTTTTCTCCTTTCTTTGGGGCCAAATTCAATGTAGATATTGAAATCTCACCAAACATTTATCAAGAGAGAGAAGAAAACCAACTATTAAAGGGCTCATAAGCTCTACTTCTACTCATATTGAGATAGGTGGGAAAGTAGTAAAATTAGCCCTTAGAGCAAGACCCCTTTATAAAAAAAAGGTCCGAATGACGTACCTCCTTGACAAATCACAATTTGATGCATGTGGAGACATTTCTTTTAATAGTTTTAAGGAATATTTATATTGAACTCAAATTATTTATGTATGTATGTATGTTATGTCTCTTTATAAATAGGGAGCCAGGCAGTACTCCCTCCACATATATCACTTTTTTTCCCTTCTGCTAAAGCAGTACATCTAGCCCACCATGACACCAAAGCAGGTCCAATCTTTGTTCTATGAATCATTTCTATTTGATTTTTTTATTGTGTCCCTCTTCTCTTCTCTTCTCTTGAAGAAATAACAATTATAACTCTTGGAATGAACTGAACCAATTCAACACTGTGGGTCAGTTAGCCATCATATCTTGCACATAAACTGGTTGTGTATGTCTCTTTCTTTAGGTGATATTCGTGTGAGGAGAGCGATAGACACATAAAAGTATACACTTTATTTTACCTGTTATTCACGTGAGAAAAAGACAAACACATAAAAATATACACCTCGTTTCATATAGCCCCTAAACTAGGTTATTCCTATATGCTGAGAGGTTCCTGTACAATTGTAAATTGTAATAGCAAAGCAATCATGAGTCACATGGAAATATAAAGCCAAACACTTTGTGCATCAATCATGCAAGGCAATTGGACTCAGAAGGTTAAAGCCTTTTGATGTGGAAACTGAAAACTTACCGCTAAAGATACATTCAGCTTTCGACAAAAGACTTTTGAGCCTTGATCCCACTACACCACATTAAATTAATTATATAAAACCAAAAACAAAGATTAGAAGAATCGGAAAATTTGCTAATGCATATGATCATGAATGATGATCCTCAATTCTAGACCAACCCCACACTCCCCCCACAATGAGAATATAAGACTGCCCATCAAAACTTTGATTGATATTCAGTGATACTGATAAGGACATGGCTGGAGGTGACAAGATAGTTTAGTGCATCGCATGATTAACATTTAACATTTTTAATGGGACGTTGATACTGATACATGGTTTATCAATGTATATATTTCATTTAATTAACATGTGAATTAATAACATCACGTAATGAACTATATCAGGCGCATATCGGAAGAAAATTCCAAGATGGCAAAAGTGACATATGTGGTGACCAATATATTCCATAAATTATGTAGACTAATATGCACCATCATTACCCACTAATCTAAAAGTAAATCAATGTCGGCAGCTTTCTCGTAGGCTGGGCGACAGGTGAAAAAGGATAAAGAAAATACACGGTCAAAATAGAAAAAGCTTTACCAAAAGAGAAAGGCAAACAGAGCTTCTTTTTTCTTTTTTTCTTTATCAACGGCCAATTGATAGTTCATTTCCTACTCCCCTTAAGTCTGGTCTCTGGTGGGTGTGTTTTGCTTCTTGTAAATTCAACAATATGGTCAAAGTCAATCTCACTCATTAACTTGCTTCCTATTACTATGAATACAGTCGAACTAACCAACCGAAACTGACCTTAAAAAAAAAACTTCACAATTATGGTAAATTCTGCAATTTCGTAATAAGGCAGGGTCATTTGGCTGATTAATTATGTACGATCATTACCTCATATAATATAATTGAAGAAGTGGGGCGTGTGACGTGTCATGAGCATGACTCATGAGAGATAAGGAGATTTGAGCATAACATTCATCTACCAAAGATGAATCATATTGGCCCACCAAGAAGCTCGGCCTGGCCCACATTAAACTATTGTATAGGCTAGAGCCCACAATTAAATAAGGAGGACCATTTTCATGAGATTTGGCACCAATATATCACGACATAGTAGATCTCTACTTGTTAGTCTTGTGTTGACAATGGTACGTAACGAGCGTTGTAGATCTAATTGGACTTTAATTAGCAGCATCTAAAGAGAGGGGGTAAAAGAGTAATTTAATTAACATATGGTAACGTGGTTGATTCCTGAAAACGAAAAAAGAAAATCAGAAGCATATGTCTCCAAAATGCATGGCCACGAGTACAAAGAATCGATTCTGCGAAGCACTAAAACAAATTTAATTCACTCCCTCGAAGTTAGCCAGCATTAGTCGATTTCTAGCCATAAAAATAAAAAACCTGCAATTAGACAAAAATCACAGAAAAGGGTTTTGGCCCTTGCACGTGTGGAACCACCACATCTAGGAGTTTGAAAATCATTCTTTAATTTCTCCAGAGATATTGCTGTGAGAAGACTGCATGTACTGTTGTCAAGGATTTTGGATTGTCGATCGTTGACACGAGATATTAATTTCATTATAGCTTTTATTTGGCCATAATTAAATATGAAATTATGGTTAAAGGTAAGATCCATGTGATACCTGCGGGGGGTTCGAGTGCATGCATCATGTTCTACCCAAACAAAAGCATGCTTTCCTTAATCATAAAGAGCACAAAATATTTATAGTCATAAAAAAAGTATTTTCAAATGTTAATTATTATTACTAAAATGCGTTGTAAATGTGAAGACTTGTAAATATAACATTCATAATAATGCATGATTTCTCTACCGTATAAATTTGGGTTGTATATGCAATGTGATTTGTAGACAACAACTTTACCTTTCTTTACTAAAATATAGATTATTGATCAAAGTTCATTGAATATTGTTATTATTAACATCAAATTTAATAGTGTTATTATTAAGAGCATTATTAGTGGGATGTGTAAATTCGGAATTATAAAGTTACTTTTACATCGAGAGATATAGATGTTTCCGACCAAAGAAGTGTAAATGTGATATACATCCCTTTATACATCCAACTACTGGTAATGCTCTAACATCAAAGTTTGTTGAACAAATTTATATTGAAAATATGCACCCATTGCATGCATCTTCTTCTTCTTTTATTTTTTTTAAAATTTTTTATAAATAAACATCAAAGGACTTCAAGCATGGATCTTCTTCTTAGATTATCTTAAAATGGTTAACCGTCTTCTTCAATACATAGTAACACATATATAATACTGTAACAAACTATACAATCTCATGATTCATAAAAACGCAAAGCGATATTCTCGCTCAAAAACTCTCCACAAGAATAATAATAATAATATATAGCCACATTCCATAAGAGCATAGCTAGAGGCAGCAGACAAAGAGATACCATGAAGTTGCCTTCCACCCACTCTTACTCTCTTTTAGCTTTATTCTTCTTCTTCCACTGCTCCCATGCCCCACCCTCCTCCTCCTCCTCCTCTTCTCTCCATCTTCTTCCCCTTTCATGATCCTCTCTCTTCTTCTTCCTCCATCATTGCTCTCTCTCTCTCTCTCTTCCACTCCCATCTCATTCCCAATCACCTCTTTTCCACCTTCATGCCTAACCCTATAGCTTGATAAGCCACTCTCTCACTCCCTTTACCCTAATGGCCAACATATCAACACTCTTCCACAAGTTCCTCTCTCTCTTCCTCCTCCTCCTCCACCTTGGCTGCTTCACTTTCACCACCAACCACAAACACCCTCCAACCAAAAAACACAAGCTCTCTTCCCTTCTCTCTAAACCCACCCTTAAACCCCAAAAAGCCCTCACAGCCTCCTGGTCCTATCTCAAGCGCATCTTCACCTCCCCAAGAACCTGCAAGATCACCTGCACCAACATCATCCAATCCCACCTCTCCACGCCTCCTCGCTCCTCCCACCACTCCATCGTCTCCCTCGTCCAACCCGACCCAGACTCCAAATACCCATCTGGTTCCTTCCCCGAATCCGACATTTCGGCCGCTTCCCACCCCTTCTTCCCTCTCCGAAACGATATCTTCCCCTGCACCGCCTGCGGCGAAATCTTCCCGAAACCCGAGACTCTCGACAACCACCAAGCGACCCGCCACGCCGTTTCGGAGCTCATCGACGGAGACTCGGGCAAAAACATCGTCCGGATCATTTTCAAAACCGGCTGGACCGATACCCGAAAAGCCCCCGAAATTCGCCGGATCTTGAAGATCCACAACAGCGAAAAAATCCTGTCGAGGTTCGAGGAGTACAGAGAGGCCGTGAAGTGCAAAGCGGCGCGAAACGGAGCCGTTCGGAGGAGGGACGAGCGGTGCATCGCCGACGGGAACGAACTTCTCCGGTTTCACTGCTCCACTTTCGTGTGTGATTTGGGACTCAATGGGAATTCCGGAATTTGTAATCGCGAGTACTGTAGCGTCTGTGGGATTATTAAATCCGGATTCTCACCCAAGTTGGACGGCATTTCCACGCTGTCGAGTAGCTCCAGGGCACACGTGGCGATCCCGGAGGACATCGAGGAGGAGTTTGAGTTCATGAACGTGAAGCGTGCCATGCTTGTTTGTCGGGTAGTGGCGGGTCGGGTCGGGTGTGACTCGGAGGAGGATCTGCATGACGTGGACAAGGAGGGCGGCGGGTTTGACTCGGTGGTGGGGAGAGGAGGGAGTGGGGCCCACACGAAGGTGGATGAGGAGGAGCTCTTGGTGTTTAATCCGAGGGCTGTGCTTCCTTGCTTTGTGATTGTGTATACTGTGTGAGTGTTTGATATGTTTGGAAGTAGTAGCCCTTATTTTAGACCAAGGATTGTGATTTTTTTTTTTTTTTTTGTGATTTGCAACTGCATATCAGTCATCATGATTTTGATATTTTTATTTTTATTTTTACAATAGAGGTATAAGGTATAGGTATGTGGATAATGTTTATTTTCATTTTCTTGCTATCTATATATATAGGTCATGTTTAGTCCACGAAAAGGAATTGAGTAGAAGTCAAGAGGGGATGGGAAATTGAATATCGATTTTTCATATTTGGTAATGCTGGAAAAGTAACTGAGAAATGTTATTTTATTTTATTTCACAGTTTGATTTGTGGAGAAATTGGAAACACGCTTTGTTTAGTTTTAAAATTATACCCCTTGAATTAGACTATACAATAAATTTAGCGCTTGCCTTGGTATTTTCAATTGTTAATTGGAGCAGATTGGTTTTAATTAATGCTCATCTTTGTTTCTCATGGGAATGGAAAAGAAAACTCAAATTCAAAGTGATGGAGAAAAGCTTGGTTTCTCAAGATTGAGGAGGAGTTCCTTCTTATAATTAATGTGGTTTTGACACGTGTCACATGCTCTTATTTTTCCAATGAGCCGAGGAAATTGTTTTCCAAGTTTGGACTTACCAAACATAAGAAAGAAAATCAATTTTTATTCCGAAATCCCTTATCCTGCCATCTAACTAGGCAATAAAATAAAGGTTTTCATGGTTCGAATTTATAATAACTCAAAATTGACTTCTTTAATAAAAATTTCAAAACACAAACACTTCATTTTAAAAGAACAGGGTGTAGCTGAGTGGAAATGGGTCTTGACTTGCAGACTAAAAGTCTCAAGTTCAAACCCTCATAATATCTTAATTGTGTGTGTGAGAGAGAACCCTCTCCCTTGTAAGATTATCACTAGTACTAAAAAAACAAAGAACAAAGATGTCAAATAATAGTCTATGAAGAAGATAAGAGTTTATATTCTAAAAGAATTCTCTATAAATAAAGATAAAATGTTAAACATTAAAATAATATCATCAACAACACTCACGTGAAACTAATTATAGAAGGATCATGTAATCATAGTGTCTTAGTGTGTGGTGTAGGTTGAGCCCCATGGCCTTGTGACCTTGTCGGCTTGTCCTATATCACAATTTTATTTATTTATTTATTTTTGGTCAAGTCCTATATCACAATTAACCTTGATAGTTGATGATACAAGGGGCATGGATTTCTATGGCGATTGCTGCCTGCCTGCCATGTTAGTATCCTATTATATTATTTTAGTGTGATTAACAAGCCTATTTTTGTTGATTATAATTTATTATGTTTTCTTAAATGAAAGCGAATGCCTCCTCCACTTGCTGTAAAAGAAGAAGATTAGAAACTTTAGCCAAATATAGACTAAAATCAAATACAGAATGTAGATTATTAAGGAGGGAAACTTGTAACAGAAGCTTCCTGAGTTCATAATATCATTGAGGAACTGCAATTTGTCTACAACCATAACACACACAGTGATGCATTTTGTCTACAGAATGTAGATTTTTAAATTTTCTTTTTAGTAATTAAATAATATCTTAGCCTTATTTAATTACTAATAAATAGATCGGGACTGTACTTAATAAATAGTAACTATTTTTGTTCTTTAATAAAATATTTAAACACTAATTATTCACTAAGTAAACAATAATTAAAACATAACTGATAATTAAAGCGTATAGTCGCGCGGCTATACTTTGAAAATATTATATTAAAAGGATATCACCGCGTGGTTATACTTTTAAAATTTTCTATTTACAGCGTATAGCCGATCGGCTATACTGTCACAATATTCTATTTAAAGCGTATAGCCGCCCGGCTATACTATGAATATATTCTATTTAGATGCTATAGGCGAAAGGCTATACTGTTAAAAATTTCGATTTATAGAGTATAGGCTATACTTTTAATATAACAATAAATATAAATAAATAAATAAATAAATCTCAACGATTTGTCGTCGGCAGAGGTCTCCAGCAAAGTTTCATCGGGATAGACCTTTGTCGATGAAATTTTGTGAGGTTTTTTTTGAAAAAATAAATATAAACTTAGTATCTTTAGGTCAATAAATTTGTATTTTAAATTTTCTTTTTAGTAATTAAATAATATCTTAGCCTTATTCAATTACTTTCATTAGTAATTATGTTTGAATTATTATTTCTTTAGTGAATTACTAGTAAATAAGAAAAAAGGATGGAAGAGATAAGAAGCTGGAGAAAGACAACAATCCAATAATGATAAAAAGATATTCAGAAGATATATCTTAATAAACTAGTTAAGGACAAATAAGAAACAGTCCACAAGTTCAGGTTCCTAGAACATATCAGGGAAGGAAGCTGACTGCGTGCAAAAATAGGATTAGCAATGGAGAAATTGGAAACACACTTTGTTTAGTTTTAATTGTTAATAAGGGCAGATTGGTTTAAAAATAGTGTAATTAATGCTTGTCTTTGTTTCTCATGAGAATGGAAAAGAAAACTAAAAGTCAAAGTGATGGAGGGTTTTATTTTCTGCGAAAAGCTTGGCTCCTTAAGATTGATGAGGAGTTCCTCCTTACAATCAAGCCATACTCTTATTTTCCCTCTCATTTTTCCAATGAGCTGAGGAAATCGTTTTCCAAGTTTGGACTTACCAAACGTAAGAAAGCAAATCAATTTTTATTCCCAAATCCATTCTCCTGCCAACTAACGCGGCAACAAAATAAAGCTCTTCATGGTTCAAATTGATAATAACTCAAAATTGCCTTATTTAAGAAAAATTTCAAAACACAAACACTTCATTTTAAGAGAACGGGATCTAGCCGAGTGGAAATGGGTTTTGACTTGCAGACTAGAAGTCTCAAGTTCGAACCCCCATAACATTGTAGTTGTGTGTGTGAGAGAACCCTCTCCCTTGGGGGCGTTTCTAGCCTATGGCAAGCTGGGCTCATGCCCGACCCAAATTTTTGTTAAAAAATTATTACCTACACTACATATTTCCCCCACTTAAATTAAGCATATACAAACCTATACAACATTTTTTTCTTTCTTTTCCTTCCCTCTTCTCTCTCTCTCTCTCTCTCTCTCTTTTCCATTCTTTTCCATCTCTCTTCTCTCCCTCTCTTGTTTTCTCTCTCTCTCTCTCTCTCTCTCTCTCTCTCT